AGTAGAGCAAAGAATCGAACCTCCCCTGGAGTACCTCCTGGTTTTCTAGAACATTATAACTCATGTTTCCTTGGCCTTAGACTTTTAAAAAAAATAATTGTTTTTTTTTTTTTTCACCTCATTTAAAGGAAAATGCTCAAATATACTGTGAGGGTCTTATTGAGTTCCACATCCTTTATAACTGACTAAGGGTCTGACTTCCTAGATCAAAGGCTGTGCCACTGATAGTCTACACTTCTCACACTCTTCCCCCTTCCTACCAAGGCTCATGTCAGCCCCAACACATTTCTCAATGAAGAATCTGAACAGTACTATTACAAATGTTTAAACGAACCAAACAACAAACTTGTGCTCACCACAGAACTTTTAACACAGGAGTCAGACACATACTCAAAAGTATCTTTAGGAAACAGAAACTAGATTTTATAACTAAGGTAATATTTCATAGCATGACTTTCAAAATGAATGGGGATTCTCTTTCCAACAAAATATGGCGAGAGCACTAGCTGCAAGACTTCTTGGTAGCTTTTCCAAACTGTAATTTTCTTCCCTAAAGACTGCTAAGGCTTTGGAGGTTGTGTAAACAGTACTGGCATCGTACAGGGTTTCAGCTGATGGCCCCAACTCTGGTGCACATTCTGAAACATAGCTAAAGGAAGCTGGTCAGCAGACAGAATCAATTTAACAGATGCCAAACATCTTTAAAACTACTAACACACTGTTAGGAAGAAACATGCAAAATGACTGCTTTTGTTTTGTGATCTTAACTTTGAAACTTCCTCAAGGCTAACTCTGACTGGAAAGAAGACATGTCTTATCACACACAGTTGAGTAGATCTGAGTCATGACGCGATTCCAACACAAGGTCAAGGGCACAGAGTCACTTTGCCTAACTCCAACTGCTATGCATAATTCACCTGCCCTGCAGATATGCCTGAGTACCAGGCAGACATGCATAAAGGATTTCTTGGTGCATGCTAACATTTTTAACTTTGGTTTTTTGAAGGAGAATAAACATAGATGAGAAGCCATTATATTTGCAGCTCGGCATCAGAGAAATTAAAGAGTATAAGCTAAAAACACCTTACAGCTTGTTTTTAGAAAAAGTCAAGAGCACACAAAGATTAGCTGCAACTGTAAACCCAAGTATGCAAGTATATATACTTATATGTATTATACATGTACAAAACAATGGCCCACAGATTCCACACACAGGAATGACCACACTAACAATGCTGAGCCTCTTCAAGATACACTTTTGTTAACAGTCCATACTCCTTAAGCACTGAATTTAAAACTGCTTTCCCACTTAATACTATTTAAAAAGAGAAACTTTTTCCAATGTTTTCTGGGGTGCCATTGCCTTGTTTAACAATACCCAGTTGATACAACACTCCTCTAGCTTTCCCACCAGATTTGCTATATCCTGTAACTACAATTGTGTTTTCTTAATTTACTGTTAGGAATCACTAATTCCGATAATATTTTAAAGCAGGAACACAAAATTGATAGTTCTTTCCCTATCTGTTAGCAACTGATGTTTAAATGACCTCAACTGTTCCCTTTGAAGGGCTTTCAGACAAAGAACTGTAACAGAACACAAGCATGTAGAGAAAGGAGACCTCAGGGGGTAGGGAAAAAATCCTTTCACCAGTAGGCAGAGACGAGGGGCGGGGGTGCAGGGAAGCTGAGCCCTAGACAATAATAAAGCCAAGAGGGGCTTCTCGTCCCCTCCGACCCTCCCAACCCCTGTGACAACGAAGACGCCACTGAGACCAGGTGCCAGCAGCTGGGATCTGACCATACCTTCATGGGTAGGCTCTGGGTCAGGTGTAAGGGAGATGTCATCCAGCTCTCGCAGGCAGAGCCATTCTCCATCCATAGACACTCGGAATTTGCAAAGGTAGATGGTCTCCATGGCAGCCTGTGTGATCTTGTCAGTAGTGGGGGTTGGCATATCGGTCGGAGGCGTCAGGGCCGACATGATGACTCAGCTGGGACCACACACACACACACACACACACACACACACACACACACACACACAAATAAAGAAGACCTCTGTACCAAAGAAAATCCCAAATCCCAAGCTCTTAAACAAAGCTTTTAGAAAATGGGATAGGAGAGGTTAAAAAAAAAAAAAAGAAAGAAAGAAAGAAAAAAGAACAAGAGAAGAAAAATACCCTGTATCCTCAAAATAAACAATCAATTCTACACTATCTTTTCTTACTGGCAATTCCTAACAGCAAAATTAGATGGTGTCTGTCTTCTCTCAGCGTCCTCTCCTTTTTTCTTCCTTTCCCTTTATTCCAGCCGGGCTATCTATAGGCTTAAATCCTACACACCCAATGCTGTCTTTCAAAAATTGGTCTGAGCACGAATAAGTGAAAAAAAAAAAATCCTCCTTCTTGGTGCAGAAAAAAAAATACAAAAGAAAAAATACAAAAAAAAAATCAACCTATATTTTCAATTTATCTTAAAAAATTTGACCAGCAGAAATCACTACAGGACCTGCTCAGACGAGCCGGGATGCTGAGTTCTAACAGGATTGGCTGTGCGCAGTAAGCAGGGTGTTGACCAAAATGGCTGACTAATGAACTGAACTGAAAATTCAGGCTCATGTGACCAGCTGCTCCGAGCACTGGGCGAGCAATTCCCAGGATGCTTTATAGATGCTGCTGATGCAGGAAGAGCAATTAGGCTGCTTCTTTCATCCTGCACAGCCCACTTCCAGACTGTGCTAGTCAAACTACGATCAGACCTAACACAATGCACAGATCCTCATCAATTCTCCACACTCTTGGATAGCAGGGTAGAAAAACGGGGCAATACTAGATAATGCTCTGTGATAAAAAGCAATTAGAATAATTTACTAAGCACACAATTCACTTCTACCCCTGTACGTTCAGTTATTGAAACTCTTTTCTACATACAAGGTGCTCAAGACAGGGTTTCTCGGTGTAGCCCTGGTTGTCCTGAAACTTACTGTGTAGACCAGGCTGGCCTCGAACTCAGAGAGCTCCGCCTGCCTTTGCCTCCCGTGCACTGGGGTTAAAGGCGTGCACCACCACTGCCTGGCAAAAGGTGACATTTTAAGAAAAGCTAAAGCAGGCTTTTTAAGTATCTTATTCTCAGGCATTTATAATTTGGTTTTCTAAAATACAAAGGACTGACTTGTTAAGACAGGACAGGAAAAAACAAACAAAAATCTTAAAGCTAAAAAAGTAAAATACTTCCTCATCAATGGCAACTCCTTTTCCTTTTGATATTGCTATATTAACCAAGTTTCTGCTATAAACATGAAATGCATTTCTAAAGAGAAATTAAAACCATGTCATATTTTTAAAAATCTTCCTATCCTGCAATGTACTGGACACATTATTAAATTCTTAAATCAGCCAATATGTGTGTACATGTGTGAAATCCAATTTGTGTTAATATTCATGCCTTAAACACACAAAGCCAGGAAGTAACTACCTAGAGAAAAGGCTCCAGGTCAATGATATAGTTGAAAACATAGAACAACAAATATATAAATAAATTTAGGTACTCTGTGTTTGTCTAGGGTCCAATACAGATTCTTCCTTATCTGCAGGGAGTACATTCCATGTTTTCCAGTAGAACTGAAACCAGTGATAGTTGTTTTCTTATACTGTACATACATATGATAGCTTAATTCATAAATTAGGTAAAGTAAGAGATCAAAACCACTGGGCACACCTGCTTTTAATCCTAGCACTCAGGAGGCAGACAGGTGGATCCCCAAGTTCAAGGCCAGCCTCATCTACAGAGCAAATTCCAGGACAGCCAGGGCTATACAAAGAAACCCAGTCTTGAAAAACAAACCAACAAAAACAAAGAGATCAGTAACTAATTATAAAGTAGAATCATTAATATATCACAATAAAAGTTAAATGAATGTGGCCTGTTGACGAATAACTGTGTCTTTGTTCCCCTCTTTGTCTTTGAGACAGGGACTTGAGTAGCACTGGCTGGCCTTGAACTCCCTATATAGCTGAGGATGCCCTTAGCAGATCCTCTTGCCCACATCTCCCAAGTGCTAAAATTATGGGTTTCGCCGATACACCTGGTTTATATTGTTCTGGAGATCAAGTCCAGAACTTTGTGCAATGCTGGGAAAGCATTCTACCAACTACATTCCCAGACCCTCCAAACATCTTGCTGTGCTGTGGAGATGAGTCAGTCAGGAAAGTGTGTATCTTTCAAGGACAAGGACCTGAACTCGGTCCCCAGGGGCCAAGTCAAGCAGCTTGGTGGCACAGCTCTGGGGAGACAGACAGGTGTGCTCCTGGGACTTGCTGGGCAGTCCGCCTCGCCTAACTGGTGAGCTCCAGGCTAATGAGAGACTGCCTCAAAAACCAAGGTGGAGAGCGCTCCTGTGGAATAACATCTTCCTGTGGCCTCCACGTACTCGAGTGTGTGTGCGTACACACATACACACCTTATTTCCCTGAACTCAAGTCCCTTCTTGCAGTGACAGGAGATGGTAAGAGTGCCCGCTGAGGTGGATTATGGAGGCATTATGACATAGCATTACATGACAGCATAATGAGAACTTAACACGGGGCGGATGACCTGATAACAGGAGGGCAGCAGTGTGGACACCCTAGACAAAGAAATCTGGGTCTTGAGCTCAGGGGCAGAAAGACGGAAGATCTCATAACACTAGTTAGGATGGTGTGCAATTTAAAAGGAATGAATTGCTTATTTTTGGAATTTTCACCTTAGTGTTTTCAGACTACGGCTGACCTCCGCTAAGTGAACCCCAAAAGAGAAATCATGGCTAAGGGACAAATACTGAACCAGTTCAGACTGGTCACACACTATGACACTCTATCTTTTCACCAACCAGGCAGCCTTTACTAACCACCAAAGGGATCCGGACTCAAGACAACGTACCTGCAGAGCAGGAACCCTCAGGCTAGTGAGCAAGAAGCTCGGCTACGATCCCTCTGACCCCTCCTAAACCCATTCTGCTCCCCAGAGGACACAGAGAGGGAGCCCAATCCAACTACAGCTTTGGCTAGGGAGAACAGCCCCGTGCCTGCTAGTTTGCCTTATCTGTCAGTCTGTGGCAGGACTCGGGTGACTGAAGAAAACAAGAACTGTAGTTGGGTAAGAGCACCTTCACCTTCAGTATGACTTTCACCTGCCCATCAGATAAACGCCACTGAGTCATCCTCACAACTGCTCATTGTTCAGAAGCAATGAGATTATTTTAAAACAGCACAGCTCACAGAAGTGAACAAAAACACTTCTAAATATTCCAAAGTGCTATTTTATATATGGTCTTTACTGATACATAAATACATTAGCTTCACACAAAAACAAAACAAAACATTAAGCCATTGGTAAGACATACAGTCTTGGGTTGGGGATTTAGCTCAGTAGTAGAGCACTTGCCTAGGAAGGGCAAGGCCCTGGGTTCTGTCTTCAGCTCCAAAAAAAAAAAAAAAAAAGACATACAGTCTTGACTTGAATGGTTTAGCCGTGGTAGAGTGACCGTCCTGGCATGCACAAAGTACTAAGTTCGGTCCACAGCATCACAAAAATAACAATTACCCCTTTCTCATGTATACACTAATTAAAGTTACACTGAACTGCTTTTCTCATTTGAACCCCTTTGTCAATAACTGCGTTTTTGTAAGGTGGGTGTGAGGAGGGTGAAGGGGGGATCCCGAAAGACTATCAACTGTGTTCTACCTGCTTATACAGCTCGGACTTTCCACACGAGTGACTCAAAGCAAACGATGCACAGCTGAGCTAGAAGTCACGTTTCTCGTAGACTGAGGCTCACACTCAGATGCGGCTCCTACAACACAAAGGCTGACTTGGTAGGTCCCAGGCCCCCGGTGTGCAGGGTGGAAAAACTACTCAATGTAATGACTTCATTCACTGAATTTCTGTTTTCCGTTAGGTACTTAGCAAACGCCACATGGAGCCGTCCTGAGCACACTGCGAAGCAGACACTGGTCTCTCCTCATACACACAAGGAACTGGCCCAGGATCACACAAAGGCCAGGTGGCCGATCTGCTACTCTACACTGCTAAATGACCCCCCCCACACACACAACACAACCTGTGTTTTCTTTAACACTCTGCAACTTCAGTACTCAGGCAGGGTCCTTCAAAGATCCTAAACATGAGTTTCCGGTTCCTGATCTGAAGAGGACTTTTAAAAAATCAGCCTTTTCATTTTATACCCTAAAGTCTCCCAAACCATTTCTTCTGCCCGGCCACTCCCTCCCCTAGACTTACACATTTAGCTCAGAAACACTTCATATGGAATGTTTCTGAGAAAGAGAGAACCCTGGGCACATTTTTGCTGTTATGTGGTGGTAAGAGCTAATCCAAATTCCCCCCAGGCACCACGATGGATACGTCACTTGGTTCCCTCTGCTATAACCCTGGGCAGAGAGCTGGTAAGCACCTCACTGTGTACTCTTTACTCAGGCAGACCTCTAGGTTAACAACAGGTGATGCTGCTGGACTGATGGCCCACGCCTTTAATCCCAGCACTCAGGAGGCAGAGGCAGGTGGATCTCTGTGAGTTCAAGGCCAGTCTGGTCTACAGAGTGAGTTCTAGGACAGCCAGAGCTATACAGAAACCCTGTCTTGAAAAATCCGCCCCGAAAAAAAAGAAAAAAGGAAAAAAAAAAAAAAAAAAGAACATGATACATCCAGATCCAGGAAAAAGGTAAATGAAGGGAGAATCATCTACAATGACCCACTGCAGACTTTTAAAGAACGACTTCACTGTACAACTTTAATTCTACAAAGAATTAACCAGTATCAACTGGAGAAACGGAGCAACAACTTCCAAGACCTACGCTCTTTCTCTCCTGAACTGCCTGTGCTTTTCAGAAAGAGCTGCAACACTGACGGTTCTCAGCCCGTGTTTCTCAAACGTGTGTTTCTGTTCTATGTGTCTGGCTTGCCCCATCCGTGCCACGTGCACCACATTCGTTTCTGGTTTCTGAGGAGGCGAGAAAGGGGCGTCGGATGCCAGGAACTGGAGTCACAGATGGCTGTGAGCTGTCATGTAGGTGCTGGGAACCAAACCCAGGCGGGTCCTGTGCAACAGCAGCAGTGCTCTGTCAGCCGAGCCTTCTCTCCAGTCCCTGTTTCCTTCCATCTAAGACACTCTACTCGGAATTTTGTGTAACGTCATCTCAGAGCCAGGGGTGGTGGCGCACACATACCGTCCCAAGCAGGAAGACCAAAATTTACATAGTGAATTTCAGGTCAGTCTGAGCTACGTGACACCTTATTTATTTATTTTTAAAGAAAAAACAACTACTTTACTCTAAAAATAGAATCACAAATATATGAATGACTAGACAATATTTAGTTTGGTTCTAATACAGTTTCATGATACTATAGCTTCTAAGCCTTTCACTCAATACTGTATTTTTACTGTGTGTACAATTGTATGTGTGTGCACGAGCGTGCATGTTCTCGGTGTGTGTGTGTGTGTGTGTGTGTGTGTGTGTGTGTGTGTGTGTTATGCTCACTCAGTCGGACGGGGTCTCTCACTGGCCTGGAGCTTAACAGTTAAGTTAGGCCGGGTGGCCAGCAAGTCCCAGGATCCACCTGTCTCAGTTTCCCTGTCAGGCCCAGCTGTTTTACACAGGCCCTGAGGACTGACTTTAGGTCCTTGTATTTGCAAGTACATTACTGATTCATCTCCACAGGCCAACAACATGAATGTGTGTATGGAGGCCCAAGGTCAACCTCAGGTGTTGTTCCAAAGGTGCCATTCATCTGGTTTAAAACGGGTCTCTCATTTGTCCCAAAGCTCACCCAACAGGCTAGGCTGGCTACACAGAAGCCCTAGGGATCCACCTGCCTCTCTGAAGTGCTTACAGAATGTGTGACCACACCTAGCCTTTTGACACAGGATCAAAACCGGGTCCTCAAGTTTGAGTGGCAAACACTTCACCACTTGAACTATATCCCCAGGTTCCCCCTCTTTCCATGTTTTAGAGACACAGTCTCAAGTATTTCAAGGTGGCCTTGAACTCGATATGTAGCTGAGAATGATCCTGAACTTACCCTCTGGCTGCCATCTGCCGGCCCTGAGATTCCAGGCACACAATACCATACCATACATAGCTGATTTACGAGCTGCCAGGGATTGAACACAGAGTCGTGCAAGCTCCCAACTGAGCTCCGTTTCTCACTCTTTAAGTCAGCTGTCTCCTGTTTTTCTTTAGTTCCTCATCCACACATAATGGCTTCTTAAAAATGGTCAGTTTGTGCAACTAAGTCAATTTGTAGATGCTCATAAAATTCTGTTTCCTAATGCTTCTTTCTGGGTTTATGGTTTCACAACTCAAGAAAGATATTTTCCTATTTCAGTATTGACTGTTGGCATGATGTGGTTATTACAAGAAGTAGACCACATCCAGAACCAGGAAAACTTTAACTAGTTATCGTCACGTTAACATGGGTAGAAGGTCAGGATCATGGCTACTTCATACTGTCCACTCCTCCTTCCCAGTATCTTTTTCCCAGGACCCACATCTACCAGGTTTACCTGGTGGTGTCAGATTTCTTCAATCTGAGGTTTATATACTTGGCAGGCTCATGATCAGTTTGTAGATATTAACCAAAGATGACAGGGAGCAATTATAAAATGATTACGCCCAGGAAGCTCAGTTATTATTGTGTCAGAAGCAAATGCCAGCAGAGGACTGCAGCGTCTCATCTTTACTTAATAAAATTAGCCAGCGTAAGACCGGAAATAACTTCCACCCTGGGATGCAGAACTGACTTCATGCACGCCTCAGTGGCAGTAAGTAAGGGCTTACACACACAGAGCTACCAACAGCTCACTACTAAACGTCTCTGGGAAGTTTAGCCTCCCTCACCTCAATTTGCTCAGCTGTAAAATAAACCAAATTACCAGCTTTGCAGAGAGCACAGCCCCATGAGAAGAAATTCACCTGTTTTGCATATTATTTATAGATATTGCTCAAAATAGTACCTACCCAATACCAGTCTCAGTGGATGCTTACTGGTATAGAAATGTAATGCTAAAGCACTCTCTATACATAAAATGGTATTTTCCCACTTTAAAAAAAAAAAAAAAAACTTCAATCTTGAAATGTTTTCCGCTCTACAAAATCAAACTAAATGTACGTCTTACGAAATAAGAATCTAAGAGGGCTTTCCCTTCCTCCCTTCTTTTTTGACGGGATCTTGCTATGTAGCCCAGGCTGGCCTCCTCTTACGATCCTCCCACCACAGCTTCCCAAAGTAACCTTTCCAGTGTAAACAAGATTCAGGCACTTAACACAGCCAGGGAAGGCACAGTGTTAACTACTGGAAATCCTGAAGAAATAACCACGACTACACACAAGCAACAACCACGGGTGTCCAAGAAGTTCTGAAGTCCTGTCACATGTGGACTAGTCAGTGTGTATATACACTATTCTACCCAATTTATGACTTACAGGTTTTGGTCATTCATTCATTCATTCATTCATTCAGGTATGGTTTTAGTGAGTAAAGAACAAACTCTAGAGGCTGTAGCCTGAAAAGACAGGTCTAGTCTGTGATTCCAGATGAAGAAGGAGGGGTTCTTGGTGGAGCATGGCACCTCTGGAAGCAGAATGTCCCCAGGGAGTCCCACGTCTACCACAAAGAAACTGTGCAACTTTGCCCAACTAACTCATCTGTTGTTCATCCCTCCCCCTTCCCTCTCTTTCTTGAGGACAAGAGTCTCACTATGCAGGCCTGGCTGGCCTTGAAGTCAGAGACCCACCTGCCTCTGCCTTTGTCCATTTCTTCACTAACAAACAGGAAACAATGTTAGCTACTTCAGAATTAAATAAAGTGACGTAAATAAAGTGCTAGGATGACATTTGGCACCCAGCAAACAATAAGTCATTACAGTAAGTGCTTCTGCTTCTGAGAATGCTCCAGACACAAAACTCGATTCTCTTCATGATAAATTTGTAAGGACAGATGTGTAGGAGAGTGACTCAGAAGAAAGATGAGAGGAAAGGGTGTACTGTGACAATTTTCAAGTTGTGAGGAAGGAAGAGAGATGGGTCAGAATCCTGCTAAGTATCAACTCTAAAAGAGACAGAAGTAGAGGCACATCCGTGGAGAGTCCCCAAACAGATTCTGAAGCTAGAAGAACCCCATTTGAGACGAGTTCTGCTGCTTTCCCATGCATGCCTCTTGTCCCGCCAATCTCCTCTTGAGCACTTGAAAGGATCTCACACTGTTCCTCCAAACTAGCCCAGCCCTGCCCCATCCCTAATCCTTCCAACATAAGCTCAGTGTCCTTTCCACCTGGTGCCCAACACGATGAGAGCCAGGATTTACCAGGAGGACTGCCCTCCCGGCCAGGAGCCCTGGGAAGTTTTAGAAGGACCATGGACGTTTATTCAGTGGTTAATGGAATAGCAGTGCACACCTGTAACCCCAGCGCAGAGAGGGATGAGGTCAGAGCACTGTGGGTGTGAGGCCAGCTCCGGCACATTGCAAGCTCCTGTCTCACAAACACAGACAAGGGTATGTACAGGTCACAACCATATTAACGTCCTCTAAGCACCACTGCTTTCTAATTCTGAAAATGCTTCCTCTCATATAATTTCTTTTGTTTCTTTCTGTGCTGGTGACTAAACCCAGGGCCCACTGCATTCTCAGCACAAGCTCTACCCCTAAGTTCTACCCCAGGCCCGTTACAATTCAAACCAATTCTTGAAAGCTTATGGTATACTAACTTCCCAAAACAAATTTTGTTTTTTTGTTTTTTTTCGAGACAGGGTTTCTCTGTGTAGTTTTGGTGCCTGTCCTGGATCTTACTCTGTAAACCAGGCTGGCCTCGAACTCACAGAGATCCACCTGGCTCTGCCTCCGAGTGCTGGGATTAAAGGCGTGCGCTGCCGCCGCTGCCTCCACCACCGCCACCACCAGGCTCCAAAACAAATTTTAAAGACTCTCTATGAACTATTTAGCATTACTGGGAGAAGTTTCAATATTAATAACATTTGAGTAGGAGTATACTAGCTGTAACATACTGTAAAACTCATTAACATGATATTTATGGCTGGTTGTGGTGGCTCATGCCTTTAATCCCAGCAGAGGCAGGTGAGGCTCTGAGTTTGAGGCCAGCCTGGTCTATAGTGTGAGTTCCAGGACAGCCAAGAAACCCTGTGTTACAAATACAAAACAAACAACAACA